CTCTACGATTGCATAAAATTACAGTACTGATAATCACTTCAGTATTTAGATGCGTCGAACGCAGTAGCGATTTGATATTAATTTCGTATAGCGAATACTTGCATTGAGTGAGATGCGTGTATCTGCAGTTTTAAACTTACAGTCGTCGTTATTATTAACAAATGTTTAAATTACATATTTAATTTTACATTTTATTTCATACGACACTTTCCAGAGTCATTTTTCGCCTTGTTTATCTAATATCCATACCAATATTATCCTCCAATCTACGCCTGTGTTACCCAAGTGGTCTCTTATCTTCAGGGGGTTTCTTGGCAAAATTTCGTAGGCTATGAATTTTTCGTCTCCCCCAGAAAGCAAATATAATTATGAAACAAATAATAAGAAAGCTTTACACGCTTTAAAAGCTTTAAAAGGAACAATAGGAAATTTGCAGATCTGATGTTTTAGTCATTCATCTAAGCTGGAAAATAAAATATAACCTACAAAGAATGGCAGACATCAAAAACAAGGAAACAGACCCAGACAGAATTGGCAAGGAAGTATTCAGAACAACATGGAGGGAATGGAATATGATGGCTTGAAGCCAAGGAGTAGGAAAAGTGACGAGTTCTTTGCAACACCTCTAAACCATTCGGTGGAAGAAGTAATTAGCATAAAGGCTTTGTGTTGCCATTTCCTTTAAGTTGGCTGCAGAGGCCCGGGGGGCTCTTCGCGTCTCTTGTCTCAGCACCACGACTCTTTTTTAACATTTGCTGTTGCTCCACGATGGGCCGTCGTCTACAGATTGCGCCACTGTCTGAACTGACTCGGCACCTAATTCCTGTAAATCGGTTTGTGGTGTTGCATTGCAGTAGACTGAAATACGTACACCAATTGTTTCTGAATGCCAACATGTTAAACGGAACTGAAATTTTGACATAACTACACTTGGCATTTCCTTCACATAATATTTCGATTTCCGTTTGCATTGTATTTAACTCTTTGACGCGGAGGGGCGTCTAAATAGTATTTAAGAATTCAGTCTGTACCTCAAACAAAACACAGCGAACCGGATCCTTTGCAGTACAAAGTTGCGGGCCTGGTACTAAAACACGATGGCGGATCTTGAGTAGCGTGGGTGGGCGTCTGTGGTTCTCTTCATATCTATTTGTCCGGATACAAGTACTTTAATGTGCAAATCTGCGGTGATATGAAGATGACGTCATCAACTGTTTGTACGTATGGACTTTAATAACTGTGGGAATTTAGAGCTGTTAAATTGTTCGTGGGCGTATGCGTCAGCTTACACAAAATATTAGATATTAATCTAATCAGCATCTCTGGAGTTCGTTGATAGAGGTTCCAGGGTCAATTACCCTGTGGAGGACGTCGTAATGTTCGTGATAGTGTGTTTAATGGCGCTGTTTAAAGAAAAAGGGTTTTAGAATGCGTTGTTTGCGATGTTTCATGTTTCGTGGACAGATTATGCCCACTACATTCGCCAACAAAAAAAAATCGGTGTAATCGTCCGCTGTATTAAACTGTATTCGCAGAATTTATTGCTCAAGCCTGAATGAGAAAGTCTGCTAAAGAGTAGACGTAACGGAGTATGGAAGTGTGGGCCTGTATTACAGCAACAGCTTGTTGATATGTGAATTTCTGCAGGGTAGGTTCCATTTGGCGGGATTTACTGGACACGGTGATAAACTTTCGGTTTCCGCGAAGGAATTAATCTTCCTGTCAGCTAATTAATTGTAATGTTCTGAGCCATGACTCTGCGCTATCTTGTAGTTTACCTGCGGGCTCCGTATTTACTCTCATGCTTTGTTTGTCTTGTATTTTATCTGGAAATGCATTGTTAGTGCTAGCTGTAGTGGCATTTGTAGAAAGACAAACATGAATGATGGCATCTATCGACCAGTCCTCACGGTACCAGAACCCAGATCATCATCATCGTCATTGTGAATGATGAATTCACACGCACCGACCGACTATGGTCGCCTTCGCCCATTTCTTGCGCGTAAATATCTAAAATCATTATATTTTTTTGTCTAAAATCGTCATATGTTGTTATATTCTATCATTTATTTCAGTCGTTGAAGGATGAATTTCCATGCGTTTGTATCCTAAAACGTTTGATTTTATCAAATACAGCATTTTATATACTTCCGTTACATGCGACGAATATGAAGGTGCAGACTTTTAAATGACGACTTTATATTTTGTTATAAATGCTGTAACGGAACTGTCAAGCCTTTGTTATCAAAGTATGATAAATTAATCTTTTCCTGCTTTTGATATCTATGGTAAAATATAAGCCTCTGCTGGTTAAAAGCTGAAACGTTTTTTTTAAGATAACTGAATCATTTTACGTAAATTCGTCTTTATATCTGATAGTGATTCAAAATATATTGTTGAACTAAGATGCAAGGTTATAGAAAGTAGTATTGTAGTAGGCGTAGTTCACTCCGCCTTTTCTAACACAATAGAACAGAAGTGAATTTACTTGCTGAGAGACTCTAGTAGCCTTCTCGTACTTAAAAAAGAAAAAGGCGAAACCGAATACTCTCGACGCCTCACATTTGAGTGAGAGGGTTGTTTATTTGTCGCTTTGTATATCTAGCGACGTATTATCAGTTGAGTAGACTCTATAGCGTCAAAGACAGGTTAGGTTAGAAGTGATTGAGAATGAAAGTAGTGAAGTTGTCATATAGTGCATTAGTAGTTTTGGATAGCAATGTTTTTGATATACTTATTTGCTAATTTTGTAAACAAGCACAACATTTGAACTAGAGGGGAAGGTTTCAACTTTATTCTCTTTTACAGAATTGAATTTCCTGGACACGACCACAGTTTTTGATACTTCACGTACTATAAGAATTCGCTTCATCATTACGCCTACTGTGAGGAAAACTTACGATAGGGAGGTAACATTTCTGTCAATAATCCCATTGTGATATAGAAAAAGCTCTAAATGTTAATTTAATTTGCCTTTGCCTTTCTTGTACGTACAATAACTATTTTGCATGACCAAAGTTAAGAACAGCTCTTGCTTGGAAGTAGTGTCTATCTATTTCTGCGATCTTCGTGAGGTCAGTGTATTCACTGTTACCACAATTTCTTGTTTTTCTCATTCCGAGAATAAAAAAGCTCTTTACGCTTCTTTCTCTCTTTGCCTTGTTTTCGGTTTGTTTGTTGTTTTTTGTTCTTTGTTTTGACCTTTATGAAGCTTTTTAGTAGAGTTTGGAAGGCCGGAAATAAATCATTGTGTGGATAAGTCGAGGAGATATGAGTGTATCCGTAAATCAGTTTACCACGAGCTTGTTGGAGGTCTCTGCAATCTTCCTATACCCTAGCGAGTGTTATTTATTGTTGAACTACGGTACGAAGACAGATTGACCAATCAGAACGTTCCCAGCCGCAAACGTATGTGACCTTAACAAACAAGAAAATATCCCAGTCTCAAAGGGGGGCTATAATTACTTGCGTGTGTGGGTTGGTGTCTTTCTCTCCTTATTACTTGATTTTATTCAGTGGTTTGAAACAGGTGGTGTTTGGTTTGCGAAGTTTTAAGACTGGAGCAGGACTGACTGTAATTTAACGTAGATCGTAGGCGAAAGGCGTAAAGCGAATGGTTTCGGAACCGTCGCAACGAACCCTTCGGATATTTCATAAAGGAAAGATCAAAATGACAGACACTGTGTGCCAATATTATTCGAAGGCAATTCTGTAAAGGTAAATTTTGTAGCTAGTCCCAGTTGTGTAAACAGGGTCTGAGTTCAAAGAAGCGAGAAACTCACAGTTCTTTTACTTTTGAATCGCTGTGTTTAAATGTGGCTGAATTGGGTTCAGAGAGGTAAAGCGAGTTGTTGGGTCATTTGTGAACTTTATTAACAGTTAATATGTACTTCTATTGTGGTGAATATTTAACGAAGTAAGATACGGAGATTTCCGTCTTCTGGGTTGTTGCGCTGTGTAGTCTGGTCGAAGTTAACCAACGTTTCAGAGGTCATACTGCCTCCGTCATCAGGGCGATTCTTAGTATGAAGATTTCTGTCTTCTGGGTTGTTGCGCTGTGTAGTCTGGTCGATGTTAACCAACGTTTCAGAGGTCATACTGGCTCCGTCATCACAGCGATCGCCCTGATGACGGAGGCAGTATGACCCCTGAAACGTTGGTTAACATCGACCATACTACAAAGCGCAACAACCCAGAAGACGGAAATTTTCTTACTCACCGCTGTGAGAACCTCAAGTCTTACGAAGTAAGATACCTCAGAACAATTTCGTTTTCTGTGATAACCGTTACTGCGGTTTTTTGTAATTTCCTACGAAAGACTTCTCAAGTCATGGAAGCTTTTAAGCGCATGGTGCCAGTTTCCGTAACTGATATAAGAAATAGAAAGATGACGGTGATTAGTGTGGAAGCAGTCATGTACTGGCAGCCGCGGATATTCGCATTATTGAGGCGGACTTGTCTTTTACCAGAGGACATCATTGTTGTTCGTGGAATTGCTATGAGCCCGAACCTCTTGGATTTTTTTTTTCGACTGAGGTCGGCGAAGGAATAGACAAAAGCATCGTGATAGCTTTCTGAAACTGCGTTTTGAGTTGTTTGGCATATTTCTGGTCTCTAGCAAAAGAAGCGACCCCCATCGCTTTTGTTATTTGTTCTAGTCTGTGCAATTACAATTAAAGGAATATTAAAATATAAAATTACAAAGAATTTTGCCATTTGCACTATGACAGCATACATAACCTATGGCGGATGTTTAAAATGTCCAGTATGTTACAATAAATGCAAAGACAGGTGTCGCAGTGAGGTCCACAGATAATGTTGTAACATGTCTCATAGATGGCGTAGAATCCGCGTCTGTCAGAGAGTCCATGGTTTGCCCAGAGGTCATTATTGTTCGATGCGGGAGTTTGGTAGAATTATGGGTCAGTTTGGTGCGGTTGGTATTGGCATCTCATGTGAATGAATAAAGCCAATAGAATCATTGCGTTCCAACGTGAATACTTTCATTACATTGCTTTTAAATATTCAGTTTTCCCATTGTTTTAATCACTGTTCATTTAATTTTCACTGCATAATTACTTTGCTTTGAAATATCAAAAATATTTTGTGTGGTGTTTGAACCAAGTTTCATGAAAACTTGCCTGTCCATGAGTTGAGCCTCTTTGAGGAAGACAAAACTGACAGATGCTATAATCCTTTAGTATGTTTTTCATTTTGATCTCAGGAAAGTGGGCTAATAAATTATTTCGTTTCTTTAACCTTTAATGTAGTATAAGAGAGGAACAATGTGGAAGATTGATTATATTTTCAGGTTATGGAAATAATGTTGATATTGAGGAGTTCATTGACATTTGAAAATATAATTTTTATTTTTCAGGATGATGTCGCCCCTTGAGTAAAAATGAGTAATAAATATATTTAAACATGGCATATGAAGTTCATGTGCTGTGTGATGGGTATTCCAAGACAACAGAGGAGGGTATGGTTGCAAATTGTACTTGCACCCTCATAAAAGGCCAGAAGCATATCATCATAGTTGATACAATGACACCTTGGGATAAAGAAAAGATCATTAAAGGTAGTATACAGTATAATTCATACAGTTTCTTTTACTGTAGCTGAATACCAGTTCAGAACTTACCAGATGTCCCATTTCTTTTGTAATATTGAATTCAGAGGATGTAGAAGGTAGAGAGAGACATTTGTGTCACTTTATCATGCCACATTCCTAAATATTTTACAAATGGGAGTTAATCACTGCTTAGGCATAGTTTTATTATAATTTGTTGGCAAAAGAAAGATGTATTGTATCCCCCAAATTCTACAGGTATTGATTAAACTTTTAACTGTATTTCAGTATTTGTTTGTTATCTCATGCTATTGGATCAAGGATAAAGTATTACAGTCATTATGACTGAGGTTGTGTCTATCTTGCCAGAGACTTTCAGTGATTGTTATCAGTTCTAAGTGAGTGCCAGAATTAGTTGTGAGGTGAATTTTGGTTTAATTTGTATTGGTCAAATATAATGCCTACTTTCAATGCAGCCCAAATAAAACTATTACATTTCACAAAAATTGTTTATCATATAAGCATTTGCTCTATTAGTTTAAATATGGGTTTTATTGAGACCAATACTTTTATTTGAAACATTATGTGAGTTTTAGTTTAACACCTGTTTTAAGCATGGGGTGATTTTAACTTTGAAGTATACATTAAAAGACTTTGGGTGTAGTTCAAATGGATCATCTTGAAACCTTGCATACCGTGCAGTGTTATCTAAATATATGCATGATTTTATATGTTAAGACAGATCAGTTTCCCAGATTCTTGTTTTTTCATAAGTTCTGGTTCTCTGCACGCTTTGTTCTTGTCAGCAGCAGGTGAAGTCACAAGTATAACTTAAAGTAAACTAACTCTGTTGGTTTTGAGGTTTTAAAGCAACGTGAATATTCTGAGTTGTTCCCACATGCAGTATCTTGGCTATATTCCAGCATTCCAGAGGGAGCCTTGAAGATAGAAGCAGCAAGGTCTACCAAAACATCGGCATATAGTCAAAATACTACACAGTAGAACAATCTAGCAATCAACTTCTAAATTAGTTTAGTTGTATATACTGCATTGCAACATTGAATAAATGTATTTGCAGGTCTGTGTCATTATGGAGTGGAGTGCAATGATGTTGATTATGTTGTGTGTTCTCATGGACACTCTGATCACATAGGCAATAACAACCTGTTTCTGAGTGCAAAACATATTGTTGGGTTCAGTGTATCATACAAGGACCTGTACTTCATTCACCCGTTTGAAACAGGTGAGTTTCTGTTACTTGTAATCCATGGGTTATTTATGACACTAAATGAATATTGAAGAGACCAACAGATTTTTGATTGGACAGCATTGTTGTAAAGTTCTTAAGGACTGGTTTTCTGTTTGACTTCAGGTGAACCGTTCGTAATTGATGATGATGTGAAGGTGGTGCCTACTCCAGGCCATACTCTGACAGATGTGACTGTTCTGGTCAACACAAAGGATAAAGGACTTGTAGCAGTTACAGGTATCTGGGAGTAAGACATTGCATATTACCAGTATGCAAAATGAAATATCTCCCTGGTAATGAAAACTGAACAGTCGGGCTAGGTGATTGGTACTCCTACTCCATGTTTGGGAATTCCTGAATTTCATTATCATCCCAGTGGATGGTTGACTGAGGTTTATAATAGTTTACCTCAATTTATGTAGGCAATTGCTAAGATATTACCTTAAAATAAGCCTGGACTCTTGTTTTCTCTCTCAATTCATCATGTATATTCATTCATCATTCACTAAGACTTGAAACTTACTCTCTGGTAACATAATGTGGGAAGTTCAGTGCCTTTAGTACCAAAGCTTGCTGCTAGTGGAGATTATCTTCAGTCAGTTCAGTCCTACTTTTATCTTTACTACCCTTTTCTAGGATCCATTTTCATATTATGCTCATATTTTCTCCTTGTCTTTTAGGTGGCAACTGTTTTGCAGTTCCAGTATTTAATGGGTATCAGGCCTTTTCTGTCAAAATTAATGTAATGATTTGTATTCTTCTGGGTTGTGACACTGCACAGTCTTGTAGTTAGTGACCAGTGTTTCAGAGGATAGGGTGTCTTTAAGACTGAGGCTGAACGTTCCTCCAAAATGTTGGTACCATCTAGAAGACTACACAGCAAGTAATTTATCTTATTTTATTTTTTGTGTAAGTGAATTTATCTGGTTATAATGTGTCATGGTCCAGTAGACTACATTCCACATTTTCGCTGCTGTGAAAACCTCAAGTATCATTAAGTGAATCTAGCTGACAGTTTTATTTCTCTTTAATTTTGTCATGTTTGTACATGTACATACATATAAACATTTCTTCTAATTATGTGTGAATTACTGCTTATAATTCAACAACTACAAAAATGACTGCTGGATAGTCCTATATTGTATCCAATAAACTATACGTATAACAGATTTAATATAGACATAATCTGTAGTTAAGCCATAAAGATATTATTCCCAAAACAATACACCATCACTGCCACCAACAACAGTAAAAACAAGTCTATAACATATTTACAGTTTCAAGTAATAAACGATTCTGATTAAAGTATGATTTTAATGATGAACATGTAAACACAAGCCCAGCACATTAATTAAAGTGTTTCTAATTGTTGAGTTATAAACTGACACTGCCTGCATATAACATTAATTATTGAACTCAAGACATAAGTAAGAAGCTTTGTCAGTTTAGCCCTGAAATCCCTGTTCTTTTCCCATCTTTCGTTTTTGCTTGAATTATCATAATCAGCATAGTCTAAGATGATGGGGAAACAATGGAAATAACTAATGTGAAGATGAGTTTACATAATTAGGATGTTTTAAGAGCACTTGACAGATGTTGACTGGTCTCAGCAACTGGTATTAAAAAGATTATCCTTCATTTCACTATGAGGAAGACTGTGGTCCGTCATAGCTATATCTGTGTGATGTAAATATAGGGGGAAGAGTGTTGCTTAATCTGTAGGACCAAATTATCGTATGTATTAACAATGGCATGAAATTCAACTTAAGGAAATTTTGCTGACATGAGTTTTGTTACAACTGATACGAAGTTGGTGATGTCATCTTCACAGCTTGTAGCTAACCAGTTTCTGAGGTGTTAAAGAGACTTAACACACATGTAAACATAGCAAAGATAATTTAAGTAGTCCTTTGAATTACCGTAGATGAATGAGGGCAGGTCTTGGATTTTTCCTTTGAACCACTTCCATTTTAATATCTGGAATATTATGGTGTTCCTGATATTCATAAAACTTTAGTGAGAACATTTCAGAAGATATCACCTCATGGTGATCTTCAACTATGGGGCAAGTTGCAAATAGCACACTCCCCACAGACATGTGAGGAAGCTAGGAATAAAAGGTAACCAGAATAAATAGCTTTGACCAAGATTTCAGTCTTCTCAAGGTGAGGGAGAGTAATTAAGTGGCATGGTTACAATCTGAATACCACAGAACCCAAAGATGACACTGTGACATGGCAAGTAATTACTGTCATTAAATAAATGCTACTAATACAGGACATATGAGGCCTGAGGTTTAGTAATGACAGCCTATTTAAGGGATTATACCGTTAAAAGAAAACCCTGGTCCTCCATGTTGGGGGTTGTATGTTGTGATACTCAACTTATTGTTTGCTTGAAAGCACTAGAGTATCAGTTGTATAGATTATGTAGCATTTAATTAAATCAAAGAACGACAAATATGTTGAACAGTGTGGAAGGGAATGGTCATAGTTTATTGTAACACACAATTCAAGCATTTGTATGGAGGAATTGAAGGGAACTGTGAAAAATGCATGATCTAACTTTTCCAATTGATTGTTATTGAGTTCATCAAAAATTTTTTGTTCACAGGTGATTTGTTTGAACAAGAGGAGGATATTGCTAACCCATCATTGTGGCAGTATGTAGCTGGTAGTGATGACCCAGAGAAGCAGCGACAGAATCGAACTAAGATTATCCAAATTGCAGACTGGATTATTCCTGGTCATGGACCAATGTTTAAGGTTACAGAGGAAATGAAAAATGGTTCTAAATAAAATATGCACAGAAAAATTTTCTTAGATTATTCATTACACCAAACATCTCAGTTCCCTCATCCTGGAGGCAAACTATCCTGCCAGAGGTTTTTCATGGTTTTACTTATTCCCTCCAAGCACATGCTGGAACATTACATTAACACATTCGCTGCCAAGTCAACTTAGGTCAATCTGCTAAAACTTGTGTAAAATTGCCAGCATTGACTTAAGTCAATCTAAATATTCTTCTGTTCATTGTTTATAAATGCACTATTTACATCACAAGAGTGCAAAGTATATTTGTTCAGGAGCAATACCTGCCATTCTAAGAGGTAAATAAGTGTAACATATTTTTTTATTTTTGCCATTTAAAACTAGTCAGCTCTTTATATACCCAGTAGTGAATGTGTTATAAGCGCTTGGGGGAGAGTTGGTATAGCTTCTACTTAATCATAACACTAGGCAGGAGTGAGTGGTCATTGTCATGCCCTGGCCATGCTTTACCCCCAAGAAGGGACCCTGGTACCCACTGAAGGCTCGGTGAGCCCCAAAGCTGGTCCAAATGCAGAGGCTATAGGAAAAATGTGCTACCCCTGTCGGGGTTTGAACCCTGGCTGACCAGTATGTAGTCAGTCACTATACTGATAGCTATGGAAAGCCAAATTTGGTTTTGGATGCTAGAAATATGTTTCAAGAGTTACTAATCTGCTGTAACGGCAGACGGGAAAGCGGGAGAGGAAAAAAATTAAATGGTGCATAGATGTATTTTGTAATTGTATTACAGCTGTTTAGAAAATGTTTATATACAGTTGTAGTAATGATATGTAACAATTGATATTCAATTTTTGCACTATATATGGCTGTCAATAGGCAAAAATTATTTTTTTCTTGAGCCTCAAGAACGTAGTCTGGAGGTTTCTGGTTCTTTCGGCCGCGATGAAGTTGTCATCGGATATGTTACACCGAGTATTCTGGCAGAAGTTTGCTGACGTTTCAGAAGTACTTGCTGCCTCTGTCATCAGGTATCACAACATCCAATGAGACAGTCAAACGTCGTGTTACCAAAGTTGCTAAGTTAGATTGGTTTTCTCGGGCATATAGGGACTCTTACATTAATTATGTTGGTATATCTGTGTTGATTATATTGGTAGGTTATCTATGCTTGGATCTAATCCAACTGCGGTTAGTCGCGTGATACATATGACCGCAAACGTAGTAGTGTCGTAGGGCCGAATGATTGGCACCACAGCAGGTGTCGTTCGTACTTAATTCTGTAAGGGTTGCCAATAAAGTTGTTCATATGTCCCCAAAATATTGAATTAATGGGGACTTTAACGAAACGTTTAGGGATATAATAAACGTTTTATGTTGGTGTACTTAGTAATGTAAACATGGCGGAAGTGGGTGTAATGCGTGTACTTTTATTATTTTCATCATTTTATATATTTATGTACTGTGCAAATTCTGCTGCAACGGATATTGAGCTCGATGCTAAAGCACAGTTTACACATCGTATAGACAGTTTAAACTTGCTTTTATACACATTTTTGCTGATACTCACAGTGTTGACAATATGGTTGTTCAAGCACCGGAGATTCAGGTTTCTTCACGAAACAGGATTAGCTGTCATCTATGGTTTGTATAAACATTTGTTATATTCAGAGCAACGTATTGTACCAGTTTTTTTGTCATTTAACATTTCTCTTGCTGATAGTTGGAGTGGCGTTGCACTTTCTGAAGCGTTGAAGCTTGCTATTTGTTCATTATTTATTACAGTTTTATTCATGGATTGTTTTACGTTTATAATTCGTGAAGAGCTCACATACAGTCGACATGGTCATATTCCACTAACCATCTTAAACTGTTTACTGATGTGTCCCTATTTGCCACATGAGTAGGAGTTGAGGGTTGATTTGGGTTTGGTAAGTTTTATGTTTAGTGCCTTTTTTGGTTTGTTGTACAATTGGTAGTGTATTATTAAATAAACCAAGATATACAAATTTACAATTTTCCACTGGCCATGCAGATCTCACAGGAATAAATAAGAACAATACAAAAGTTACAGACCAAGGTATTGCAGGTTAAGCAACACATTATAGTGTATTTTAGTCTGGAATCCTGAATGTGTAGTGGTTAGAGTTGTAAATTAAATAAATAATTATATTATGTTTCATGTTTTGTTGTGGGGAAATTTGATTTGCTAAGTTGCAACAACATGTCAGTTATAGTCACACTAGAGTACACCAGGTGCACTTGCCTCTTTCATAACCACCACCACCACCACCTGTTGATATCCCCTTGTATCTCATGTTTATTTGCTGCAGGTCTGATTGTGGGAGCATTGATTCGCTATGCAGGCAGCAAGACACCAGTACTCCACATGGCAGTCTCTCCAGAGAAAGACAGCAAATACAACCTGTCACTGCCACCAGACACACTGTGGCTTCGATTTCCCAACAGAGGTGGTAATCCACCTCTATCCAACAAGACCTATGCATATGCCTTTCGCGAGGAGATCGTGGATGTTGAGGATAATGAGATGGATCTGAAAGCAACATTTGATCCTGAGATATTCTTTAATATAATTTTGCCACCAATAATATTCCATGCTGGTTACAGCTTGAAGCGAGTGAGTATTGACTCATTTGTTCACCATACAATATTGCCTGCTCTAAATTATCTAGCTACAGATCTGTACGGTTCTGATGACTGTTAATAATGAATTCTTTGAAAATGTAGCAGAGTTTAGTATCTTGGAATGTTAACAGTGGATCATAGTGTTATTCATTATACAGATTATACAAATTAACTTCAGGAAGGTCTTGCTGCCATTCAGTACAGAAGAGTTTTCTACTTGTGTCTTTATAAAACCCTGAAAGTTATTCTATGCCAAATCAACACAGCCATTCCATTTCCATTCAGTCCATATTTATTGAAGTCTAGGTCACTTTTAAGGCAACTTTTGTTTTATCTTCATTAGATTTAGATAGGGGTTCAGTGAATGCTTATACCTTATCATACAGTGAACATTTTGCGCCAGCCATTTTTGAGGACATTGCCAATAATCAGATCCATTGAACATTGTCAAATGCAAAATGTTGTTTAATGTAGAGTTCCATATATTTCTTGATACGCTGATAACATGTTAACCTAGTTAGAGTAAGGAAATGGAGTTATCAGTATATGTAACCATCCATAAAAGAAAGAGGTCATTTGGAAACTTTCTCCACAAAATATGAAGATAGCAGCATAACGGGCTCTGTAGTGCATTACATTTTAATGTGCATCAAAGTAAGTGATTTTGCCATAACAAGCATTAAACCACTTGGAATTTGCATGGTGCATTTGAGAACTGTGAAGAGATTTTAATACTGCTTGCACTAATATTAGATTAGTATCTGACTTGTTACCATACAAATTTTGGATGTCATGTTGCTGTGTTTCTTTGATTAAAGCAATTATATGTAATATTTTGTGTGCTTGCAATTTTAATATTTTTCCCATAAATAAATTCTGTAATAAGGTTGGAAAAATTTACATATATTTCACTGTAACTTGATAGTCTATATTGAGTAGTGGCTACTTAGTTTTTATAAAATTTATAACCCTAATTGAATGAGGAGAGGCACACAGCTCACTAATTGTGTTCTGAGAGATATAATGTGGTAAAAGTATTGTTATGTCAGAATGTAACTGTAATTGTTTTTCCTCTTCCCCTCCCCCCCACCTTCTTTATGTTGCTCCTACCCTTGCTGTTGGCTTTCCTGTACTTGGAACTTTAAAAACTGTATCAGTAAGTAGAATGTCCTGTAACTTATCATCATTCTCATTTCTCCAGTTCCAGTTTGAAGTGTCCTATTATTAATCGTGATGGTTAATCATGGATTTGTAAACTTGTTTTTTCTTTCTTTCTTCAGAAGTACTTCTTCCGCAATCTCGGAGCTATCCTGACTTTTGCCCTGATTGGTACGACCATTTCATCATTTGTTGTGGGGTAAGAGTTTTGTTGAAAAAATGATTGTAGATTTTGCCTCCAGTTAGAATAAGTTTTAAAAGCTGTTGTGTGGCAAATTCGTATCTGGGTCTGAATGTTTTAGTATGATCTTAATTACAGTGACCATATGGCTATTTATAAGGTATGAAATATTCTTTTATGCTGGTCCAGTCTGAGGCTCTGATTTCTGTCTCCACCATGTTACATAAATGACTTATTTTGTCTGCAGAGCCCTGATGTATGGATTTACCTATCTGATGCCAAACCTCAAGGGCAGCTTCACTTTCTTGGACACCTTATACTTTGGTGCCCTGATTTCTTCTACAGATCCTCTTACAATCTTGGCAATTTTTAATGACCTGCATGTGGATGTGAACTTATATGCCCTAGTGTTTGGAGAAAGTGTCCTGAATGATGCAGTGGCTATCGTGCTTAGTGGGTGAGCTTGTACAGATTGATAGATTTTTAAAAGAAATACTTATTATTGATCCATATACCTCTCTTCTAGAAGGTGCCTGACATAGGATTTAACACATTTATTGACAGGTGTTTAAATGTGTGATCCAAGCAGTCTTATACTAAGACTAATGTGAGTTCTCTGAATGGAAATAATGGGAAACTTTGATGACAAAGTTAAGACATTTTAAGCTCTTATTGGCACAGAGTGAGGAGGCGGTAGAAGCAGATGTGTTAACCTAAAGCAGGATACGGTAGTGATTATAACTTTATTACAGCTGCTAAATGTTGCATCACAGTAGTCAGATAGTAGGGTGAGATAGTCATTTAATTATTATCTTCAGTGACCTTTTTTTTATCAGTGGCATTATGTAAAGTGGTAAGTTTGTACAATAAGAGTTAGCATTGAGGTAGACCGCATAATCTAGCCAGCTGTGGAAGAAATTTAATATTAAGGAATTTGAACACTAAATAAGTTGTCTGAGACTTTAATTTCTTTTTCATGAGGCTCGTTATCTGTAGTTAACTTATAGATTTTGTTATATTACTGAAAATTGTCTAGCCAGTGCTGATACACAGGTGCTCAGCTAAATGTATCTTAGTGTAAATGTCTTAATGTGTGTAATTACTGTCTAATACAATATACTTACATATAATTAATATATGTTTCAATGTTTCCAGATCAATACAGAACTATGGAGAACGTTACCAGTCAGGAACAGGTGGTTTTGAGACACAGGCCTTCTTCAGGGCACTGGGTGACTTCTTTGGTATCTTCACCCTCTCTCTTCTAATTGGAGCACTTATGGGCTGCATCACTGCTATCATATCCTTTAACAACAGTATATAAGGGCTTGCTTTTTGTATTTTATATTGTATTGTTCTTAGTGGATGTTATGTGTGCATGTTTTTCTTGGCTGCATTTTCATCATTTATATTCTTAACCACTCCCTTGACATGGATTGCTGTTTTCATTTATGTGATTTAAATACAATGAATGTTAGAATAGTGGTCTGAAGTTTTATTTACAAATTGTGTGCATTTGCGTATGTTACTGCTGTTATGGCAGTCCCTTTATATTGTGTGGTGGGATATTTTGAGCTGCATTGATGCATAGTCATCACAAGTTAAATGCAAAGCCAGTGCTCAGTCATGTTTTAAAACTGGGCTAATTGCCATTACCCTGAGATGGCAGATTTTCTGTTATATGAAGAACATGTGTGCTTTATAAAAATGACATTAGTCTTTTGCTTTGAATGAAAATCATTTTCTAAGAATCATTTTACTACATAAACACAGAAAGGCTAATTTTTTATTTTTGTTTTTTGGAGTGCACTGGACCGCTTACTTTCATGATGAGTAAAGACAGTGCATTAGGAGAGAATACTGCTACTTGTAGCAAGTAGGGCATTGATAATCTGAAAAAGGGCGTTATTATTATTGTTGTTAATAGTGTTGGTGTTCTCGTTATTCATTTCCCATTAAAATAGGAATGGCTGATGGGCATGATTATAATGATGGAATATGAGTGGAGGTACATAATGACTTTCTGACCATTGCTAAGCACAGTGTGTTTGATATAAGTTTTAGAATGGTTATTGTGTTTACTGAAACATGGATTTGTATCCTTAACAATCCAGCACTTAACCAAGTTTACGCATGTGCGTGACTTCCCACTACTAGAATCAGCACTGTTTGTGCTCATGTCATACAGCACATTTCTCATAGCTGAGGCTTCGGAACTCACAGGTAGGTGCACTATTTAGTATGGTTTTTGTCTTTATTAAGTTTGAGAAATAAGTACATTGTTGCACCAAACCTTGTGGTCAATTAACTTACACTCCTGATGCATATTCAGGAGGTCCCTGGTCCAAATCTCAGCCATTCTGACTGAGGTTTTTCATGGTCTTCCTCAGTCCTTCCATGTGAATACTGGGATAATACCTTAAATTCAGCCATTCACATTCCTTCTAATTCATTATATACTGTCATCTTCTCATATGCTGTATAGTCTAAGCTACTGAAAAAGTGTTGTAAAATAAACAGTAAATAACTACATTATGGCCATCACTTCATCTTGAATGTGGAGACTGAAACATTTCTGGGAAAAACCTCTGAACTGACCTTCTGTGTAAGCCCCAAGAAAGATAAGTTTTTTGCATATTCTCTGATTTAAATCTTATTGTCTTGTACAATCATGGGACTACATATTTTGTGAACCTTGCAGGCAAATGTATTAGAAATATTGAAATTGGTTACATTCCCAACCCTTCCAATCAGCAACTATTATATCATTGTCTTAAGTTTATGGTACATAACATTGGTAGGTAATACAGCATTGTGTAAGCCATTTAACAGCAATGGGAAGATGGAACAGCTTTATGATCTCTTGGCACTTGTTTGTATGATGCTTATTTCTTTTCTTAGAAAGTACAGTGAAGTACACCAAGTTTTATATTTCTCTTTACAGGTGTAGTGGCAGTATTGTTTTGTGGGATTTGCCAGGCTCACTACACTTACAACAATCTGTCACCAGACTCTAGGTCGCGGACCAAGAAACTTTTTGAGCTACTCAATTTCTTAGCAGAGAACTTCATTTTCTCATACATTGGAGTGTCTATGTTCACATTTCCTAAACATCATTTTGATCCTGGTTTTATCCTTGCTGGATTTGTATCCTTCAGTAGCACATCAAAAAATATATTTAGTAGATACAATATTAAATAATGTTGGAAAAGAGTACTTTAGAGTGTGGTTTTCTGTGATACCAGATTTCATACTATGTTGGCTATCTTGGTAGTTTTACTTCAAGTTTAGAATATTCATGATATTCATGGTAGAATTTTCAGTTGTGTGGTACACTACTATGTTTTTTTAAGTGGATTGATTTGTTAAACCTGGTACAAGTGAAGGCTAGACAGAGACACATGACTTTTATGTGAAAATATAATTTTTATGCAGTTCAGTAATCAGAGTTTCAAGAAGTAAATGTTGCCACCACTGGGATGTAAGAGCAAAACCAGTAGTAGGGTTTTCATCATGTGACTCAGTTCACAAAGTGGACTTGAAAGTGAAATTTAGTAACACTGTTTGCTGTGTGTTTCCTTAACAGTTGACAGTTTTGTGCCATGCTGGGGCGTGCAGTTAACATCTATCCACTGTCATTTATTTTGAATTTAGGACGCAAGCCAAAGATACCACTGAATTTTCAGCACATGCTGTTCTTTGCAGGTACACTTTGCTCTATACAAAATCAAATTTTAAAAATGAATTTTCATCCATTTTGCTGTCATAATTTTAGCACTAACATTTCTTGTCAGTATCAGCCACTGCATCATGAATGAATAAATAGTGAGGCATTTCACAGTTTTTTCTTCACTTAATACTTTGTAATTTGTTCTTTGTGTATGTCAAGACTGAGGATGTGCAAGAAGTTTTGTCTTTTGATTTCTGTTCTTTTGCTAAAGGATCCTTCTCTCATTTAACTTCTAGTTGATCAACTCTGTATAATAAGAGTAAGTATAGAATTCTGTGACTTTGATGATTTGAGATTTCTGTCTCGTAGGTTTGCGTGGTGCCATGTCATTTGCTCTGGCTATTCGGAACACTGTGTCAGATGCAAGACAGGCGATGTTAACAACTACGTCACTGATTGTCATTGTGACTGTGATAGTGCAGGGAGGGGCCACAATGCAGCTTCTCACTTGGTTCAAAATACCGTAAGCACAAATAAAAGTGTCTCCATAAACCCATCACCAAAATTGTGGGCCATTAACCCCTTTCACCAAACCAACTACCATTGTGTGTGTTAGATTGGTTGGGCTGTTTTGTTATATTGAATAAGATTTACTCTGTACAAGATAAGCATGAAGTGTTTGCAAAGGCATTTTGCATGTTTATTCTCTGTGTATATTTTTCACTGAACTTTCTGCAGTAAAAAAGCAGCAATTGTTTTGGATTGTGGCACACCTACCACAACTTTTCCTAGCAACTCAGGCAAAAAACTAGCACTTGAAATGTTAATTTTAATCCTATAATGAATAGGGTTTTCTGTCATGCCTGGTATTTTTTCTTTTGTTGCATTTTAAACAGTTTCAACAAGCATGAATTTTTGCCCATACTGCATTGCTTTAATTAATCACAATCCATATATTGTGCAAAAGTTTTTTCTTTCTTTGTTAATTAATAGTGTGATGTTACACTGTTGAGAGGAAAACATGATTATGAGGTGTATAAGAATATTGCGAAACTTTGTGTCAGGATAGGAAATATTAAGTCTTATAGTTCATAAGTCTTTATTATTTTGTTATGGAAATTATTTATTTAAAAGTAATGTGGTGTTATATTATAAGTTGTTGTTGTTTATTGGCTCTACAACCCGATTGTGGGTTTTTGCTGCCTCCCTTTTCGAAGGTTTCTTGGTCTTCAAGTGTGCATTTGTGATTAGTGAGTAACCAGCCCATTAACTCTGCAAAACTTCTACTCAATCCTGATTTGACTCCCAGAGCTATCTAGCAGTTAATCAGGAGGCTTCAGTGAGAAATGGCCGCTGAATTTTGCTTATGAAACATCTTGTATCATGCTCATAAGGTTCTTTTACATGCCATAAATCTATGCCGGCTTTACTTCTCCTCCGAAGGAAGCTGTGCTATGGATTTTTATCACCCTTATAAATCCACCGACCTCAGCCGGGATTGAACCCTCAAACCTTGGGTTCAGTGGCGAGCACATGAACCACTAGTCCACCGAGAGCGATGGTGTATTATAAGTAACATGGTGAATTACCATAATGTATGAATTTCCCATGTACATTGGATATTTGTGATTGAATGTTGGAACATGTTCAGTAGTGCAGTGTGAGAAAGGTGTTGATGCATGTTGTTTTTGCAGGGTTGGAGTGGATGAGGAGGTGGAGATGCTGCCATACACTGGAGTGAGGAGTGTGAGTATTGTACTGAGAATGGGAAAGGAATAGGCTAATGTATCAGCAAGGTTGTTGTTTTTAATTGTCTGTGATGGCATGATGAGCGAGCATATTAGTCAGATTGTATAATTTTGTAAACAAAATTGGAACTATGTCAGACTTATGCATTTGGAAACAACAGGAATAGACAAAAATGAGATTCATGAAGAAATTATAAGCGTAATGAATTTGAGAAACACTTCTTATTAAAATCAGAAACTGTTATCTCATTTACTATCCAAAGTGCCAAATATCAAGATGTATAAAACTTTTTTTTTTCCCCTGTATGTTTGAGAAATGTGGTCTCTTACTTGAATGGAAGAATGTAAATGACAAGTCATGGAAGACAGAGTGATAAAGAAAATATTTCTTATTAGATCACACAGGAAAGTCACAGTATTAGTATGGGTTCTATTGTCTGTTGTCCAAAGATTGAAATATACAAAACTATAATTTTGCTTGTTGATTTATATGGGTGTGAAATTTCATCTTTTGCTGTAAGGAAACAGCATATATATACTGGTGTTGATGGTATCTGAGAACAGAGTGCTGAAGGGAACATTTGAACCCTGGTGAAGTGAAATAATAAAGGATTAAATCAAATGCATGTATGTCTGGTAGGACAGTACGTCGTTCATAATGTTTATGGAGTGGGTATAAACATAGACATGGCATCAGGTGTGATTACTGATTAACTGGTTTGCAGTAAACTGACAGTTGTAATAAAGGAGTTGTAAAATTCTGAATGCCACTGATTACTAACCCCCAATGATACTAAAATACTTATGGTGTGATACTCTATGAATAATCTATTTTTACTGATTTTCTGTCTGCCTGTCTTTCTACCATAAGGGATAGAATTATACTATTTGGATGTTTCCTGTCTGAAACTTGGTATGGTACCATTATTTCATTGGTACTTGTTTGGTATGTGTGTTCATTCTATAGTCATCATGAATGACGTATAGTTTGTTTCTGATTACTTTGTTTTACAGACGCTAATTATCTATGCATGTTTCAGATAATTGTTCGTGTTACATTAATATTTCAAGCCAGATTATCTTCTGATTAATTTGTATTTTCATAGCTTTTAAACAGTCTAACTAATGAAACATCTAATATCTGTCTGTAGAGGTTGGTATCAGCCTTTCAGTATAATTGCATTCTCAATACAATAGATTGTATAATATAGAGATGTAGTGTCAGCTTGATACTCCAAGTCTCATGGCAGTATTTTTTCTTTCTTTTTGGATGTGACTCGTCACTACGTAGGTTTACAATTCGATGGGGACGACAGATGTGGTAGGTATTGCTTCCTAATATTGTTTGTTTTTTCTGTGAATTTGTTGAGGGATAAACATATTTTTTGGTGTGGAAATGGTGGAGGTGGTATACCTGGTGGAACTAATGTCATATGTCTTGACATAGCTTATTATCAGAGGCTAATTACCTACTGTTGGTTCCTGACTTGACTTTATTGCAATATTTTGCCTGAATGTTATCCATTGTCTGTTGTTTAAACATTTAGAATTTATTTTTTAAAATTAGCTTTATCTGACAGGCCATATTGAGTATAACCCTCTCACCTGAAGATGGAGACAGAGCCAGCCTTTGAAACCCATTGGATTTTAGAATTTTTAAACAATAGACAGTGGATAAGGTCAAGGAAGATTATAATAATACCAGTACATTGTTATAAGAAGACTCTAGAATAAATCCGAACTTAACTGCTTCATTCAGATGGAATATGTTTTCAGGAATGTTTTTAAGCCTTTTTGATTAATTGGTTGATTACAGGGTTTGTATAGCACAAATGTGATGGGAAGATGATCATGAGTTGTGAGTAGGTTAAGGATTAGGAAGGAAGTGGTTGTGGCCTATTTTAAGCAGTCAACCATTCACATTCATCAGTGTATGTGTATAGCACACCATTCAACTGATGCACTACCATTAGGATAATGATTGGTAACATTGATTACTTCACAACTCCTTTGTTACAATTATCAGTTCATAGCAAATTTGTTGCTCCTGCTGCCTTATCCATGTTACATCCAGTATTAAATATGCTGCTTCGTATCAATTGACATTGGGTTCGATTTCTGGCTTGAAGGGTGATTATCCTGGCAGTGTGATTGTCCTCAGTACTTCTGGGAAATCTTGAGATACTGCCTTAAAATAGGACAGAAGGACTACCACATCCTTCCCAATTCATCATTTGTCCCATTTAGTGTGCCATTATGTGGACTTGGAAATGAATAAGAAAGATTTGTAGTGGGTTGTGAGCAATATATTTCATGGTTTCATTTTCAATCCACATAAATGCACCAGTTTTATCCTTCCACCATCTGTGCCTCAAATGATTGTTGCTGTTTTATGCTTCATCATTATAATGTGTGTTTGTTTTGTAAATTGGATATGAATATTACTGCAGACATATAAAAATATATCAGCAACATATTAAGAGTTTCTTTGATATTTGCAGTCTCAAATTTTGAAAATTGTTTAGTAGAAGTACATAAACATGTTGGGTAAGATACTGCAGGTACTCATTAATACTTTCTTTACTGAAGAAGTACAGTCATCTATTCAGTGGTGTGTATTTATTTTCTGGGAAATTGTTTGGAGTTCTTTCCTGAAGTCAGATATTTAGGTGGAATGTGATTTTGCAAATCTCAGTTCGATAGGCACTCCCCTTTGAGGTTCAGTTGTATGAGTATATGAAACTTCACCATTAAAAATTTAAATTTATTTTGTCAGCATTTGAATTTTGGAAAGTCCAGTTTGATATCAAGTGGAACATAATTTTCCAGATGTTGGACTGAGTCTGACGTGTTACCTGTATCGGTCAAATATATGATGTGCTTTCATTCTTACCTGGTTTTTTGGTTTTTCTGGTGTTGTGGTCACATGTGATGGTATTACAGGCGGGTCCATCAGTGGAGCAGATTTGTGGTGATGGAGAAGCAAGTCAGAGGGACAAGCAGAGTCCCATGCTTGGGGTGAGACATTCATGCATGTATAGAATTGAATTTTCCTTTGAACTGGATGTTTTGCATTGTGCTCTTTCCTTGGGAGTAAAGTGGCCAGGGCATGAAGCTGTTATGCATGTATAGAACTGCATTTTCCTTTGAACTGTTTGTTTTGCATTGTGCTCTTTCCTTGGGAGTAAAGTGGACAGGACATAAAGTTGACACACTTGCCTCCATATAGTGCTGAGTTCAAGCATACATGGCACTATATCTCCACTCTACCATATGTCCGCATGGCATGGTTTTTTATTAAGCACAGAGAGAGCATTACTTACCAGTCCTTTCAGACAAATCCTTGGTTAAACTGTAGTCTGATCTTGAATTGTAGCACAGGAATCGTTTGTGGTAGGAAGCATTAGTGATTGTCTATTTGATAATTCTGATAGGGTCAGTATTTAATAGGATAAGACAGTTTTTAGATAATGTTTTCATATGTAGCATATTTTCTATATTTCTATCCTCTGTAGCTCTGAATCAATTGATGGATTCTACTCGAGCTTAGTGTGAGCATCTTGCCACTAGAGACCATAATTTCCTGTCATCAGCATTACTAGCTGGTGGCCATCTAAATTGCTGAAGTGGAAGTGTGTAATAGTATATCGTAGGAAAGTATGTAATTTCCAAAAAGGTACTTTTTATAAGAACATAATATAATGTGGTGGCTGCATGAAATTTGTATTTAACTTTCCACTTGAAGGTAGTAAATTGTGACATTAGAATTGGGCATGCAACATTTTGTATGAAGATAAATTTTAAACATACCTGAAAATTGTTCATGTTAACAATTAGCAAACATGGTGGTATTGTGAAAGGTTTAGATATCTGATATGAGATTTGAAGTTTTTGTGACAAGGAAGATATGTTGATCTAGGTTGTAATGCTGTGTGGGCAGTATTTTTCGCCAAAATGTTGGTACCTTCTTAGAAGTCTGCTCAGCATTACATCTCAGAAGACCCCCTTCAGCATGTATCTGACATATTTTTAACACATTGGGAATCTGTACTAGCATAGATTTATGCACACACTCTCATTAAGTTGTGTAATTATTAGTTTAGTTTGTATGTCTTGTTAGCCTTTCTATATACATTTGAAGGAAAGTAGGTATCTTCAGATCTTCCCAGAACTTTTTGTTTACATAATTTAATGAAAGTAGAATGTTTTATTTTAGGCAATCAATTTTGCAGATTCAAAGTAGTGTATTATTAAATTCTTGGACTTGCATATTAGCATAGATTCAAGTTGTAACTGGTTACAAATCCAGGCATTTTAAGTAGTAGCTTGAATATTTATTGTATATAATTGTTACAGCATGGTTATGTATATAATGGTTAAGTAAACCAAGAAAGAATGTATTGCACAGTATCTGAATTATTCCCATATTTGAACCTGTATTTGTTTTGAAACATTAGGGACTTACTAGGCACAAGAAAGTAATTTCAAAACTGAGTAAGGTTACCTGTAGTTAATACTATGTAAAACATCTGAAGGATATGTTGTGGCATGCTGATCTAAAGTCAAGATTTTCATTGTGATATTTCAGGTTCTCATGGCATTGAGTATGAAGGTTACTGTCATCTGGGAATGTTTGTACCATGTACTCTGGTGGAAGTTTACCAACATTTCAGAATTACATATGATCACCATTATCAGGATAATCATTGATGATAGAGGCAGTAAACACTTCTAAAATGTTGGCAAACTTCTACCATACTACACAGCACAACATTACAGAAGTCACCTTTGGAATTTTCTCTCTTTGTAGGAAATTGCAGATCAGACACGAGAAGGCAGTGCTGGAAGCAAGTTGAATGACAAAGCATGGCTGGCTCGCATATGGGGTGACTTTGATGTAAAGTACATGAAGCCTTTCCTGACCCATGCTCGGCCCACTCTGCTAGAAACACTCCCAGTGTGCTGCAACCCTGTAGCTAGGATCTTGACTACAACAGAACAGATGACACAGGTACTGAATGCCATCCACACTTCTTTTGTTGTTCTCTGTACTTGTTGCATAAATTGAATGCATTATGGGTGATCATGTCCACCAATATGCATGTTTCATTCCTGAAACCGATTTGCCAGATTGTGATGAAAGTGTGTTGGAGATTTACAAGTCTGCACTAAAAGTTGTAGGGTGCATTTAATTTTGTTTGTATTTATTCACTATAATTTACTGGCTACCATACAAGCTCCATGTTAGATATGAATAGTGAAGACATGCTCTGATTTCTTTACTGAACAATAAAGAATGGTTTAGTACTGTTCTGTTTATTGTAGGAGAATCTGTCCCGATCTCGGGTAGACTCAGATTCTGACCTCTGTATTGATGAAAATGAGCTCAGCTATGGAAATCAGCAGAGAACAAGTGCCCAGAGGGTGAGTACAGAGTACATTAAACATTGTGAATGTGTTCTTGGGAACAAAAGTGCAAACTAAATTAGCATTATGCAAGTTAATTTTCATGTAGTACTTTCAGAATTTTGTTCATCATTTTTATTAAAGTTACTTACAAAATATTTGTTCTTCACGAGATATACATATGTTATGATGGGCCTGGTTATGGCTGATTTACCAAGGAATTGCCCTCCTTGAAGAAGACACCATGAGTTGGTTGACTTGATTGAAGTTATTCTCAAGAAGTAGGATTTGAGGTTCTCATGGCAGTGAATAGAAAGATGGATGTCTAGAGTAGTGGCGTTGAATGGTTTGATATAAGTTTGCTTGTGTTTGAAAGATCCTTGCTGTCTCCATTATTAAGGTGATGAGTCATTGCTACTTGATGCTACAATCCAGACAACAGCTATCTTTTTGTTCTTGAGAGGCATTTCTTTGTATTGGGTGTCAAAGAGTGTTTTAATGAATTAAGATTATACAGCGAAGAATTAGATGGAGTATTACTGTGATGTATTTTTGGCTTACCAAGCCACCTCCAGATGGCCAGATACTTTATATATTATATTGTGAGATTTCAGGTCCTCTTAGCTGCAAGTATGAAGATGAAAGCCTTCTGACGAGACGACATGGCTCAATATCCAGAAGGCTGCCATCTTCATACTTACTATATTAATGGTGCAGTGAATATTGTTGCTTATACAGCAGTATGGGGGGAAGAACCAGAAGGGTGAGAATAAGAAGCAAAAACTTAGAATTTATAGATAAGTACCTTAGAAGCAAAATTAACAAATAATAGAATAAGGAGGTATGAATATGAAGATTTCTGTCTTCTGGGTTGTTGCGCTGTGTAATCTGGTCGATGTTAACCAACGTTTCAGAGGTCATACTGGCTCCGCCATCACAGCGATCGCCCTGATGACGGAGGCAGTATGACTTCTGAAATGTTGGTTGACATCGACCAGACTACACAGCGCAACAACCCAGAAGACAGAAATCTTCATACTCACTGCTGTGAGAACCTCAAATCTTACAGGTATGAATATATTTTAAAAATGAATGAAGAGAGAATCTCAAAGAAGAGCATGAAAATAAAAGGAAGACACCCAAGAGGGACGCTGAGGTCACAGTGGGAACAGCACATTAGAATTCAATTCCACTGCATGGGTCAGTTTTACTGTTACAAAATCTTTCAAAAACTAAAAATACAGTAGTGGAAAAATGCTAATAAGAGTTTGATGTTCATGTTAAACCTTATGTTGATGTGCTTTATCAAAGGCACCGTGAGAATCTGCAGACAACAAGATTAAATATTTTTGTTGAAGGCAGCTTCACCATTGATGTGTACTCCATATATTCTGACCAGTGGTTCCTAATCTTTTTAATTCACATGCATGGTGTACCTTATAGTATTAGACAAAAGTAAATGTTCTTGATTTGCTTACTTTCTATAGTGGTGTACTTTTTCTTTGGTGTCTGTAGGCGATATAGTAATTCATACTCACTTTTCTATCCTTCAACTTTGGTAGTGCCTTGATTCATAGAAATTTGTTACTAGACCATCACATTTATACAGTTTCAGTAAAGAGAATCAAATTCAGTCCATAGCACATAAATGATCTTCTCACTTGATACTAAAATAGGCAAGAATTTGACATTTGTATTAAAATTCCCATGTTACTATTGCATTTTCATGGCTAACTCTGTTGTATTTATTTCTTAACTGGAAAATCCAAACAGTGTACATCTCAGAAGACTAGTTTCACCAAACAAAGATAGCAAAATGTTATGAATGTTCAAAAACAAAACAAATGTAAATGCATGTATACCTCGGGTGATGTCGCATTAAGAAATATGTATACATGATTACTCATCAAAGGATTAGTGGGTAATGGGGCGTGATGAATGTATGGGCAGTCATTGTTTGAAGTATATTGTGCAGCTTTATTAAAGATCTGTTCATTGATGAAGATGAATATTTTTTCTCAGATTTGGTGGTGGTGTGGTGCTGGAGTTGTCATTGATGGTCTTCTGGGTTGTGTCTCCATATGGTCTTGTAGGTGGTTACCAACATTTCAGAGGAGCATATCATCCCCATCTTCACTCTTTAGATAGAGGCAGTATGTTTCTCAGAGATGGTAACTACCTTCAAGACTACATGGTGACATAACACAGATGACTTCCATTGCCATGAATATTTTAAGGGTTTTAAATTACGGTATACTATTAACGCAAACTTAAATACCGTATTGTCTTCGGCATGAACATAAACACAAATATTAAAGGAGCTGTGACTATATAGGACTCTGTAGATAATTGCTAATCCTGGTTGGGTGAATACAGGGAGTAATAGTTGATGCCATAACACATTGGCACGTTTGCATGTGGATTGCCCATTCCCCAGGCTTACATCAGAGAGTCACACTAGTGTGAACATGAATTCGATCATTTAAATGCCTGGTAGCTCATCAGTGAACCAATCTACTGCAAATATGACTAAGTGCCTGGCATGATTGTTAATGGACTGTGTAGGAAAGAAAGGATATGATGAAATTATGTGATACCTGTGAAGGCCCTTGCTGGAGTGGATTATGATTCTTTGCAACTTTCTTGTTGCATGTGAACATGGCAGGAGGATGCAGACATTCGCAGTCAGCTAAGTGTCGAAGCCCACAATTTCATGTAGGACTGTTTATTTGTTGCTTGGAGCATTCTACTTGGGTATGTGTTACAGTTGTTACTATGATGTGGTTTCTTAATGTGTAGGTGCAGATGTTGCATGACTGTATGCAGTGGACATTCTTTTGTTTATTAGGACAGGTTTCCCATACCCCCGTGACACTGAACCAACTCAGTGGTGTACATTCCTGTTTTTGTGGCCAAGGGGCCAGTGATGATCTTGGAAAAGCTTTGCTGACCCCTGACCACTGAAACAAGGAGGGTCAGGAGAATGCAGATAGCAATAAATGTGTTGGGGACAATATGTGTTAGCTTACATTTTCATACAAAGTTTAGCGCATCTTGTGGTGATGGACCTTGTCTTTCTTTATTCATTCTCTTTTTTGCCATCCCTCCAGTTTTTCTGTGCTAGGTGACACCTAGTTTGTCTATCAGTAAAACCAGTCATGCATGTTTGTACTTATTTGAGTTCTCATAGGTTAGGAACCACTGCTCCATATTAAAATATTTTGATGAGTAAGATAAGACATGCATCTTTGATTCCCATATTGTATGCTCAGTTGAATGGCAGCTGTCATAATTTCCAGTGAATGTATTAAACTTATCTTTTTATAAGCCACGTATTTTCCGTTGCATGTGTGTTAATATAAAGTTAAATCCTTTAAAATATATTGAAGTTCAAGTACTTTTGAATGACAACAACAAATCCTGATGAAACTGGTAATGAAATTAAGTGTGGATTATATTCATACATAATATTGGTTGGAAAACCTGAAGGGAAATACCACTTACAAGATGTAGCCATAGAGAGAAGTAGTGAAGGTGACTGGGTTTAGAAGTTCAAGATAGAATGCAATGATGTGTTCTTGTGAACATGCTGCTAGACCTTCAGGTTCCATAAAAGAAGGACATTTCTTGACCAGCTGAAGAAACAAAACTTTAGATGGATTATACTGTGTTAGGAGTATCTTTCTTCCATGCTCAGTGTTCCTTTAATGATCGGCCTAGCTGCCTGGGGCTGTGTTGAGCCAGTGACGCTTTTAAGTGGTAGGTTTACTCTGTCATTAAACATGGACCATTTCATCCTCTTCCTGATTTTCCTCCACCCCTAGCTGTCATCTGTAAGTCTCCCTGTCTTTCGCAACCCATTTGGGAGTCATCTTGCCCTTTGTGCATTTACAGAATGACTTACTAGTGAGTTGTCATACCCTTTTCTACAGGCTGTGGCCCACACGTTAGTTGTCCTTCAATATTGTTATGGGATTACTCACTGGTAGGTCATCCCTTCTCAAGCCATACAGTTCTACATGTGAGTCAACTCTATTCTGTACAGTTACAGAACAGCCCACTATTAGTTTCCTCAGGTGTGAACTTAGTAATGCGTTTGGTATGAAAATTGAGAGAAAAATGTCTTACATATGTGTTGTGTGCTATTTAACAGAGTGACAGTCTAATTGCCTCTGGAGACCTGGGCCTAGGTAGTCGATTTGTGGATACAAGAGTGCGTGTGCCTGGACCTGGAGGGAAGGACATGTAGGTGCGAGTTGTGATTGTATTGGTGCAATGGCTGTGAACATTAAGGGCTACTAAAATGTAGATTTTTGGGTTCTTTCTGGGAGTGCTGTACAGTGCAAGATAGAATCTAGCACCACATCAGCTACCGAAAATTTGGTTGTTATTGGGTGTCATCTGTTCGGGAGGTGCCACACACAGCACGTCATTGAATTCAGCATTGCTGTAACAGCTACTGAAGATTTTGGTTGATACTGGATGTCCTCAGTTTGGGAGTGCTATACAGAGAGTACATGATTGATTTCAGTATTATATGCATCAGGTGTTGAAGATTTAGGCTTATATTGGCCTTCAGTTTGGGAGTGGTGTACACAGTGCATGATTTAATTCAGTATTACTTTTTCACATCTGTTTAAGATTTAGGTTGTGGGTGCCTTCTGGTTGGTAGTGCTGAATACAATGGAAAATTTAATCCAGCATGTGCATGCTGCATAGCTTATGTTTTCCATCACAGACAAGTAAAATCCTCATCAGAGACTAGAGCAGTGTATTTTCTATCTTGGCTTGTTATCCATTACCCCCACCCCTTGCTATAAGGTATAGAAATGCAAGGTTTAATCAAAGTGATGAGCCTAAACTTACAGAATGTATTTGCACCTTATATGCATATTAATATTTTGCGTTATTACATGTTGCATTTTGTATGTCAAGTTCAGTAGCATTTGCAATTGTAAAAAAACCATTCATCCATATCATCAAAAGAAAAGGTGGGAGTAGCTTAGTGAAAGGGAAAAAGATGTAACAGCAGGATCTGTACTTAAACATTTAATCATGAGCTCTATATCTTTCTACCAGACAGAAGCTGAATGGTAGAGTTCATATTGAAAATTGTCCTTTGTAAATATAAATCATGAAAGGCATAATCATATGTAACAAGCTGGTGATATGATGTTCTAGCCAGTAATAGAGCAGAATTTGTGTCAGACATACAAGGGGGGCAGGGGGGATATCAGTTTTATGATGTATGTCTAGAAAGAATTTAAGATGCCTCCTTTTGTTTGAATACTTATTCTAAAAAAGGAAGTGTTCAGAATTTATCAGGTGATAATTATACTACTCACTGATATGTTATTATAAATAATTTTTGCTTATATATATTTCCAATACTGAAAATTGTACTACATAATTTCAAAGTTTTGTATTATTGCTGTGTTTGTAATTTTGTCACAAACTTCATAGTTTTTGTAAATGCCTGCGGCCACACCAAATTTGAGTTTCGTAGTTTTAGTGAGAATGTTATCACTTTTTCACACTGGAAATCAACTTGTAAGTTTCAAGCAGTTGTCAGTTTGTTATGTGGAAGATGGGGAGGGAA